ATGACTGTGTAAAAATAAGTAATTGACCTGAAAAAAGTTGTGATTTACCTCACAAAGTGATTCCAAGAAGAATTACTGCATAGACTCCATTCAAATTCAGTTTACCTCAGAAACAGGTACCAATTTTAGTCCAAACATTCTGTTGACATTTACAAATTTAAGAGCTTTTACTATCAAGAATTACTATTTCAAGTCTTCTCCAATTGTAATCTGGAAACAAAGATCATTACATGCCCAGATGTGCCTGTGCCAGGTTGGACAGAAATGAATTCCCAGCACACACAAGCCTTCCCAAGGCACTCAGTGCTCCCTAAGCAGCTGATCCTGTGCCACCAAAACCTTCTTTGGTATGTCTACTTCAGTGACACCTGAGCACACAGCGTAACCAGAACCGCAGACTAAGGATGGCATCAAGGTTTCTGAGTCCTTCCTCATGAACTTCGATTCTTGTACTCTCTTCCTGGTACTTGTTCTGTGCAGCAGCACCGTTCAAACTACAAACTGACAGCTTATACTATTTATTTTCTGCCAGGATCTATTTGTCTACTTTTGCCATATCAGGACAAACGTACGCTTGTTTCTGCCCTGGTATAAGGCTTCAATTCTGATACACTCACTTTGCGGTGTGATCTCCACAGCAGATGAGCCTATTTTGCAGAGAAATGAATTTGCTTGAGAGACAAGAGCACCTTCCCTCCTATCAGTGAACTTTTAGCTTCAAAAATCCCTCACTATGCAGGAGTATGTGAACTAAAACTTTCATATGCCCAGGAATATAGATATCCATAAAGACAAAAATCATATTAGTGAGACTTGAACTCTCTCAAAAAAATCCTCCTTACTGTATGAACAGTCATTGCAGAGTTGTGCTCTGCAACAACCTATGGGTTTCAGAAGCTATCTTGGAAGAGTCAGCCTCATCAGGAAAGTGTTCCTTAGGTCACAACAGGAATTTCAGGACCAAAATCTTTCCAGTTATAACGTGTTGTTCATATCAGTCGCATTTTGTTGAAAATGCTTATGATTGGTATACACTGGAATCGTGCAAAGTCTCTCACGGCATAATCTATTTCTCACTAATTTCTGTAAGAGACACATCAGACTTCAAATACTCTCCTCAGCTGCAACAAAGGAAACACTGGATGTGTGTAACGAGCTCACTAGCCATGGTGGAGGGGTTGGAACTAGATGATCCTTAATGTCCCTTTCAACCCAAACCACTCTATGAATCTGTGGACAGCACACAGGCATTAATCAAACAAGCATAACAATTTAATACTCAGAGTCTTGCACAAGAGGTTTATCATCTGAAAGCAAAAGATGCTATTCTTTGTGTAGGAGTTTGCAATTTGTTCGCTGAAAACCCAATTCGGCAAAATATACAAACACACATTTAAATGTTTTGGTAGAATGGGCTTTAAGAAGAATGAAATATGGAATTCATTAGCGATGATATTCACCACAAAGAAGTTCTATAAATCATTCACCCCAGATATATTTACAGCTGTAGTGATAAACAGGATTTTATGTGATGCTCACTCCCTTTCACAGCATTATGTCCATGTAATTACTTTTAAATACTGGACAAAACAAAAACAAATGACAAGCGATGCCTTCCTAGACTGTATCTCCTCCACAAAGTACTGCCAGTGACTGGCAACTGCATAGTTTAGAGTCGGACGGTTCTAGATTTGGAGCCACATTGCAGTAGTGCATATAGCATTAATGTATTGATTATTAATTCCCTCATCTCGTGCGAGCTTTTCATTTGCAGAAAGTTGAAACAGTTTATGATTCTTTCCTAATGAACAGTCGGAGATTTCTGCGCCTTTCTGTAACACAGGAGAAAGAAGCAGAAAGAACCAAAGGACTACCAGAGACATAATGAAGCTCCATGTTACATCTGGAGAATTAGATTTCAGACTGAATAGTGTTGCATTTGCCATCTACAGGACTAGGACAGTTAACCACTAAAGAATTCTTTCCTACACTGTCCCATCAAAGAACAGAAAAGCAAAGAGATCCTGGCTGTTGTCCAAAAGTATGAACTTCGGCAGTAAACACTATTGACTCTGAAGAGACTGTGGGTGAAAAAGGTATGTTAAAAATTACCAGGAGGTGTACATCAATGGTTATTTTTTAATTATGAACCTAGTAGCATGTGGATTTGACAGAGAAACTGAAAACCAGTTGATGAGGAAGCTGCAAATTGTTTCTATAAAATCAACGCATTTTTGCTACAGCATCTCCAGATGTTTTTTGAAATATTTTGTCCTATCCTGAATACTTTATAAAACCTAATTTGCAAAAAAGCAGTCTGAAAATGAGAATTTCTGCCATGAAGATTAAGCAGTTTGTAAATTTTTGCAAATCACTCGACAAAAAGAGCATCATACAAAAATTAGGACAACCTGTGGAGACTTGTGTCCATGAAGATACTCGGTAAAGTGGTAGTATTAAATAGACCAGTGCAATCGCAATTCTGGTGCAACAGGGCCATTACAGAGGAATCAAATTAGCCACAATGATTCGGTTAAGTTCCCTTTCCTGAGAGCGCTGCACAGCAGTGGAATACCTCATAGTAAGCTGACAACAAAAGCATGATGAGACGATTTGGGAGGAGCTATTGCAAAAGGTCTTCTCAGCAAACAGTCCAGGAGAGTCTGAAAGGGTGTCCCTGAGCAACCTACTGTAACTTTGAGGTTGGCCCTGCTTTGAACTGAGTGAACTCCAGAGGCTTCCTCCAAGCTAAATTATTTTATGATTCCATATTGATCCAGTAGCACTCTAGATTACCTGCTGTAATCAAATAACACTTGCTTGCACTTCAGAACAAGGACCCTACAGTTCATTATCCTACCATTCCTTCTGTGTACTTGGCAGTTCATTCCTGGATGCCCACTGGTACATTTTTAACAGACCAATCATGGGTGCACTTTATGTTCTCCGAGATCACAAGCAGTTTGCTCCGTAAATGTGAATCCCAGCAGGGATTCTTAATGCAAACTTTCTGTGTACAGTCACTGCAATCTGCACTAATTGAAACATATGAGAAATAATCTACATCGCCAAACATTTCTTTAAAAACAATACAAAGCAGGCAAGAAATTCTAACGTAGGTTTGTCAGCCGACAAACGCCAACAGACAAGGACCAAGTACAACAGGAATGCAAAAACATCGACACATCACCAAACCTAAAAGTTTATGAAGTGCAGGTCTGTTTTGTGTTTTATGGAGGCTGTATCGTGGGAACCCTTCCCTTCAATGGACCCAGAGATGAATCATTACCTCCACCCTGTGCCCCAGCGAGGCACGGCAAATTTAAAAATGCTTTTCTCTCCCTTCATGAGTCTGTCCCCTTGCCCAGATTTAGACCACCTTTCTCTTCTGGAAATCTCATACTGCCTTTTACAGTTTTTTTGTTTCTCCATGACTGACTCTCCCCTCCTCTCCCCCCTAGAATTTTAAAAAGACTTTCTTAATCTTTCCAGATTATAAATTAATGTTCTACCAAACATCTCCTTTTCCAAGTAACTCTTTGGAAGAAAGAAATCATTCCTGTTTACAGAATTTTTACAGCATTCTTGCAAAGGCTTCTCAAATGTTTAAGTTCAGGTAAAGTCTCTCTCTGCATATTTCCAGGCCAAGACACAGGAGTATATATTTTTTTGCTACTGAATATATTACGACATACACAACACTGACAAAACTTCACTTCTTCAGCTGGAAGATTCCATCACTCTCCCTCTCTGAAATACTTTGTTATCTATAGTACTGGGTCTGGCCAGGGTAGAGTTAATTTTCTTCTTAGGAGGCTGGATGGGGCTGTGGTCCAGACCTGTGGTTGTACAGCATTGAGACCTTTTCTGTTCCACCCCAGTGAACAAACTTGGGGTGCCAAAGAGGTGGGGAGGTGACACAGCTGAGCCAAGGAGAGCGGTACTCCACACTGTGTAACATTGTGCTCCAGGATGGAACAGAAAGGAGGGTGTTTAGGGAAGTTAACCACCTTTTTCTTGGGAACTGGGCAGGCATTGGTCTACCCGCAGGGGGTGGACAGTGACTGCCTGAGCATCACTTGTTCTGTTTTCCTTCTCTCGTCTCTCGCTTTTTCTCTTACTAAGCTGTTCCATATCTTGACCTATGAGTTTTCTTGCTTTTCCTTTTATGATCCCTCGCACCGCCGGTGCTGCAAGCGAGCAGCAGTGCAATTCTCAGTTGCCTGATGGGCAAGTATCTGAACAGAGTGTGCCAAGAGGGTGGAGCCAGCTTCTTCTCAGTGGTGCCGAGCAATAAGACGAGGCAGTGGGCAGAAACTGATGCACAGGATGTTCCATCTGAGGCAGAACTTCTTTACTGTGCGGGTGACCGAGCACTGGAACAGGTTGCCCAGAGAGGTTGTGGAGAGTCCCTCGCTGAAGATATTCAAGAACCGTCTGGATGCAATCCTGTGCCGTGTGCTCTGGGATGCCTCTGTTTGGGCAGGGAGGTTGGACCAGATGACCCACTGTGGTGCCCTCCAACCTGACCAACTCTCTGACTCTCTGTAACCCACTGGGGTCACCCGGTGGGGTCGCCCCACGGCTCCTGCCCGCCGCCCTCCCACCGCTCCCTAGACCTGCCCAGCGGGATGCCTCCTCCCGCTCCCGCTCCCGCCGCGCCTCGCGCCTCCGCCCGCGGCGGGCCCCGCCCCGCCGGCACGTGCCGATAACGGTACCGCCGCTCCCGCCCCGCGGCCGCGGCCCCTCGGGACCCGCCGTGTCCCCCTTCCCTGTCTCACTCCTTCTGGCAGCGGAGCGGGCAGGCTGAGGCCCCTCGGTGCGGAGGAGCGAGGGAGGGAGCTGGGAGGAAGGAAAGGAGGGAGGGCAGGTGGGAGTGGGGGGGTCGCCCCCGTCCCCCCTCCCCTCCCGCCCCTGGGCGGACGGGGCGGGGCGGGCGGCGCGTGACGCGACGCGGCCGAGGCGCGAGCCCGCCCCCCGCCGGCCCCCCCCTCCTGCTCCTGCCCGCCCCCCGCTCGCGCCCCCCCTCCCCTCCCCTCCCCTGCGGCGGCGGCGGGCGGCGGCCGCGGTGCATTGTGGGCGCAGCCCGTTGTTCATTTGCCACCCGACCCGATCCGGGGCCTGTCGGGACGGAAGCGCCGCCGCCGAGCGATCGAGCGGGATCCATTGTGGGCAGCCCCGCGCCCGCCGCGATCCAGGCCGGACCCGGGGCAGTGGGGAGCGAGCGGCCGCGCTTCGCCTCTTTCGGCCGCCGCCCCCGCGCGGCAGCCGGGCGCCTCCTTCCCCCGCCCCGTTCCCGCGGCGGACGGAGCGCTCGGCCGGGCGGGGGGCGCGGGGCGCGCCCGCCATGTTCGCGGAGATAAACCGGCGGACGCTCGCGTTCCGCGGCGGCGGCCTCGTCACCCCCGCGGCGGCCCCCTCGGCGGCGGGGGCCGAGGCCTGGGAGCGGCAGGACCCCGAGGCGCTGAACGGGCGCGGGGCGGACGAGGAGGCGGAGCTGGAGGGGCTGGAGGCCGAGGAGCTGGAGGCCGCCGCCGCCGAGGAGAAGGAGCTGCTGCTGCCCCAGGACGCGGCGTCGCCCCCCGCCGCCGCCGGTCCCATGTTCGCCGAGAGAAACCGCCGGACTCTGGCCTTCCGCGGCGGCGGGGGGCTCCTGGGCGCCCACCCCGCCGCTAACAATGGCTGCGAGGCCGCGGCCTGGCCGCGGAAGCACTTCAATGGGCGGGGGGCGGACGAGGAGATGGAGCTGGAGGGCGCGGAGGGGCTGGAACCGGAGGGGCTGCTGGAGGGCAAGGAGCTCGTCCAGGACGGGGGCTCGCTGAGTGACAGCAGCGACGATGAGGAGGACGGCGAAGGGGGCAGCCTGGGCGACGGCAGCGGCGCCGAGGGCGGCAGCTGTAGCAGCAGCCGGCGATCGGGGGGCGACGGCGGGGACGAGGCGGAGGGCAGTGGCGAGGGGGAGAGCATCAGGCACTTCCCGCTGGCCAGGCCCAAGTCCCTGCTGCAGAAGCTGCACATCTCCTTCCAGGGCTCCTGGCTCAAGGAGTTCCCGTGGCTCTACTACTGCCAAGAGACCGGCCTCATGTCCTGCGCCTGGTGTACTGCGGCCGCGGCCGCCGCCGCGCCCCCCGAGCTGATCATGGCCGGCGGGCCCCTGCCCGGGGGGCACGACGAGCTCTGCAAGGGCACCCGCAACTACAAGCGCACCCTGCTGCTGCGGCACCACCTCTCCGCTGAGCATCGTCTCAACGAGCCCGGCAGCGCCGAGCAGGTACGGCGCGGCATGGGGATAGCCATGGGCATGGGCAAGGGGGCGGCGGGGAGGGACGGGGCGGTCCCGGCTTCCCCTTTCGTATAGGTGGGGATTTTCCGTGCCCACGTGTGTGAACTTTTTTTACGTGACCGCCCATGGTGGTGGTTGTTGCCCGGCGGGCTGGGCACACCGCAGTGGTCTCGGTCGCCGACTCCGGAGCGGGAGAGAAGCCCCCTCACTCTGGGATTTGGGGCGGCTGTCGCGCTGGATGCGGGCAGGCACGTGGCACGCAGGCACACAAACACAGCCCGAGCCGTGGCTATTCGTGTCCGTGCCCGGTTCCCGTTATCCGTCTGGCGCTGGTGTGTGCCGCTTCCATTCGTTCATCTGTTTATCTCGTGAAGCTAAACCGACGATGTGGGAAAAAAAGTTGCGCAGGAATCCCAGTGTCACAGCACTGATTTAAATACGCTCGTTACAACTTCCTCCTGCGGTACGGGCGGAGGGAGGGCAGTGTCCGGCCAGCGACCGCCTGTGAAACTGGGACTCGCTAGCGTGAAATTGGAATTGCCATACCGCGCTTAGCGGTACGGCCGTGGTGCGCTAATCGGATAACTCCGTATACTCAAGTTCCTCGCATTTAAATCTTTTTTTGCCGATTGCGTTGCTTTGGATTGAGTTGCTGAGCAAGAAGTTTGCAGTCGCTTGGTGTGTGTTTGAGATAAACATGCGGTTTCCTGAAAGCCGTGTTACTATGCCAGAGCTCCTCTAACGCTTTAGGAGTAGTGAAACTCTTCTTCCCGTTCTGGCTGAACTTAAAATCATCGCGTTTCTTGGTTGCTCTCATGAATGAGGCAGGGCTTGCTCTAGAACATACGTGGATGAAAAGCCCCTAAAGAATACTCGTTCGGAATCCGCAGCGTTCTGCAGCCTTTTCTCCTAGGATGAAAGTTCGTTCGCTCGATCGCCTCGTTGGCGTTAAACTTGCCTCCGGGCATTAGCTAGTGTGCTTCAGGTTAGGCCAGTCCTTGAATTGTTAGGCTGTTAGCCGGAATTAGTCCCCCATCGCTCCGTTTTTCCCCATTTAGAACTCAGTTTTAATTACGACACTCACCTTGGTTGTATAGCTTTGTCTGGAGCCCGAAATGTAACGCGGTAGTTATATTGAGTTTAATGGTTGAGCGCTTTAAGGAGCTCAGGGTACCTTGGACAAGAGCTGTGATTCAAGTGTTTGGGTAGGATATCAGCATGACTGATAAAATGTTAGGTGAAGGTAGGTTTTCTTAGAGCTACTTGGAAAGGTATGCAAGTTTTATGTGAAACGGCTGCGGGACTGCAAGAAGAACCTTATAGTGCACAAATACAGGTTATCAAAAATATTATTTTTGGATTTACAAATGCAACATTCACCTTCGTGATTAATATACTGCCTTTTCAGTGAGTGTGTTTCTAAGGCAGCTACTGTTACTTTCACAGCAGTAGGTCGTCCAATCTGCCTTTGCTATTCACTCTGCAGTGTTTTAGCCAAACACACTTTCAGTAACTCGTTTCTAATTATGAAACTTTCATTCTTAGTTTCTTTTACCTCTTTATATATGAAAATGTTAATTTTTGCATAACGTTATCACAGCATATTCCTTACTGTCTTGTTGCCTAGTTCCTGACTTCGAGTTGTGAATGATTAACCATGTAGAGGTATGTTCTGTCACTGTGTAGCCTCCTGTGTTAGTAGATGCTGCTAATTCCTGCCGCCTTTGGAATTTTCTCACTCCATTTAAGGTGCATTTAAATAAAACCTATTCCAAGCATTTTTTCCTAGTTAATTTACTAGTTTGCTCTTTCTGTCCTCCTATCCCTAGTCTGCTGTAGAACTGTTAAATACCAGGAGAGTAGAAGGAGGACAGAATATTGGCTTGTTATCACAGTAGCCTAAGAGTTAATATAAGTATGTATTTGAAGATTGTGTTTATTTGAAGACCTTTCATTGTCCTGGGAAGCTTTGTAAAAATGAGCCTCTGCTTTTATACTGCTGATGGTTTAAGAAAAAGTATTTGTAGTAGTTGTAATAATAAACTAAATGGTAGGATAGATGAGTCAGTGGTTCTTTTGCATTGTATTAAAGATAAGGTTTGGGTAAAGGTAGCTGTACAGAGGTTGGTGTTTTCAAGTGGAAAACAGTCCTCTGTGCATCCCTCTGCAATTACATTTTGGAGGGAAGGAATTGCGTTTTTTCAGGAGTCGGTGTAGTTTTCGTTGTGGTGCACTTCCAGGTTACACTTGCTTTATCAAAAATCTGATTAAGAATCTCTGTTTTCTTTCCACTTCTATGTTTAATTTCCGTATCCTTTCATACTTTTAATGGCACTTGAATTTCTTTTGATACGTATGTTTAAATTAATACCAAAACAATAGCCCCATTTTTTTCCTTAATGCCATGATACCAGATCCTTGGAACAAAAGTAGGTAATTTGTACCCTGACTGTATTTCCAACATACATAATGAGGCAGCAAAGCCGTTTAGATTTAATGAAACTTTGGAGAGATCTTTCAGCCTTTGTGTTAGAGACAGCACACATGTATTCTGGACTTGACAAGCCTCAACTGCAGGGCATGTTTAGCAGCTGCTAATAAACATATGGCAAAGTGCCACTGTTCAAGTGCAGAAAGGAAATTGTAGGTGTTAAGACAGTAAAGCAGTGGAAGTTTCTATAGGTCTGTTGGATATTACACTCGTGAAGAAATGAGTGATGATTTCAGTTTATTTTTGGGATACATTTAATTTGGAATGCCAAAATACATCACAAGTGGTTGCAGCTGCTGTAATTCAAGGGTATTGAGCTGTCAGCTGATACTTCTCTCTAAGACCAAATTTTTGGCTTTTTTTCTATTCCAATTTTTAAAATAATCTGTCTCCATATTAAAGCTTAGGGAAATCTATCATCAGCTTGAATTACCTTTGTTTTTTTAATAAATGGACTGTTGTGTTGCAAAAAACTTAAGAAGTGGATGCTTACTGGGAAACCACTGCAAAATATTTTAATTCTTTGATGAATTTAGGTCCATAAAATGCAGACTTATTGGCTGCTGGGGGTTCCTACCCTCATACCAGCTTCTTAAAACATTTTCTCTCTGGACATAATTTGAAGCTAAGCTTTGGAAATACTGCCAGAAAAGCTTTCTCCAGCCTAACAGGCATGTTGGTTTAAAGCAGAAGTTCTCCAAAAGGAGGAAGGCCTTTGATGTGTTATTTTTTCCATGTGAACTGTAATTGTTTGCTTTATGTGAGCAGTGATGAATGTAAGTCGTGCTTCAGATGTAAGAGTTACATTACAGTGTTCTAAGTTAACTTCTTAACTTACTATTAGCAGAGCAAAATGTTGAGGAGGAAGTCAGAGTAAGTACTATTATTTACTGTATTTTCATGTAGTGTTTTTACCTCATCTTGAACTCCTCAATTTGATATTAATGGAACAATTTTAAATTGCTGAGTTTTCTGTGAGAGATGCTATGGCTTGTACAATGGCAGCGGGGCATCATTTTGAGATCCTTTTCCTCTGTAGCTGCACGTGGTTAAGGAGCTACTAATAGCTTATTTTGTTGGAATATCCATTTGTCAGGACAAGAATTAATTTGGGGGCATAGGGAACCTGCTGTAGAGTAAGATGTGGTAGTGGGGATGGGATTACAAAAGTGTGGCATAATTACTTTTCATATACATACAGCTGAGAAAGAATCTGTGGTTAGATTGGTTTGGGTATTTTTTTTCTTCTTCCTGCCCTTGCTCTTCTTTTCCGAGGGACAGAATATGCTGATGGAACAGGAGGAGAAAGAAAAACAGGTTTCTTATAGCAGTTTTTGATCATCTGTTTCTGCTCCTATTAGCTTTTAGGCAAGTTTAATTATTGAATTATACATATGAAATATTAATACATCTTTGGGTGTATTCAGGAGATCTCAGCTATTCAAAACTGAGCATAATATTAGTTTCCTTGAGTAGTCTCTGTTCTATTAGACTGCTTCTCAATCTCACCCACAGAAAGAAGTTTTTGAGTTAGAATGCAGTAAATTCCGTGAATTGAAATGAAATTGTGCTGATTCTTATCTTACATTTCTTACTAGTTTTTATTAAAAGGATAAGGTGGTTTGACGTTGAGATAGGTGATGGGAATACATGGTCTGTATTCTGAAAATATAATTGACGTCTAAGCAAATCCCATTACTTTGTGGTTCTCATCAGAAAAACAGAACAGAGGATGTACTGTGTCAGTAACAGAAGTTTGCAAATATACTGTGTTCCTGTAATTATTTTCTGCACCTTGCTTCCTGTTGAACTGTATAGTATTTTTTCCTGTACAAATGTTTAAAACACTCTAAGTGATATAATTTGGGTTTTTTTCATTTTCCTCATAGCAAATGGCAATTCTACTTGTCACACTTGGTGTACATATGTTTGGTAACTGTTCAGATGTCAGGACTCTATTTCATTTGAGTTGTGGCATTAGGGTTAGCTGCTTCCATACCAGCAGTTAAACAGTTGTTTCTAATACTGCAGTTAGTTTTAAAAATGTTTCAGTAAACCTGTGAGACTGATCTCTTCCCCCAACACACACCCCTATAGCTTGGACATCAGTTATGTAATATCTCTTTTTTTTTTTTTTTTCCCTTCAACCTTCTGGTCTGCTCATAAGTTAAGATTTCAGTCTTGCGTTTCTGTATTGCATTTGTGATCTGCATCTTCTTTATCATGCTGGCTTATCCTTTTCTCAGGAAACAAAAAAAGCCACATTGTAAAAATCAATTTTTTTTTTCACCCCAGCTTGACTGGGTATGTGTACTTGCTCAGTTAAAATGTACTCTATCTCCATTCTTTAATCAGACATTTGTCAAAATTAAAGAACTGCTGCAGATTGTTGTGAGGTGGTTTTTTTTTTGGTTTTGGTTTTTTTTTTGTGTGTGTGTGTGTGTGTGTTTTTTTTAAATTTATGTGGTATTTAACGTGTTCTCAGAGAATGAAATTGGCAGCTATCATAGCATCTACCTAACACTTACTGTGTGAGGTGCAAGTCACTGATGATTGACGAGAGTGACAACACTTCAGGGTACCATAATTTTCATCTTAATCTGATCCAACGTCAGTGTAATTGGTGTTTTGAAACTATGCAGTGCTCCACTGCTGGATTGACAGGAAGCTAGTCCAGATCTGAAATCTGCTGAGAACTAAGAGTGACAGACTTGGCTGTCATATGTTTGAGGCATACTCTGTTTCAGAGCTCTGATCTGAAGGAGTGCTTGGGGTTTATCAGAGTACACAGAAAAAACTAAGCTGACGTTGCATAAAGAATGGTTGCTTGTTTTTACATAGAAACCTAATTGCTTTTATTCCTACCTCTTCACTGAACTGTTTGTCTGAGAAGGGTAGAGATTCAGAAGCAGCTTGAATGTGATAGCAAACTGAAATGATTTCTCAGGAGATGCTGAAATGGCAGTTTCTGTTTTGGTTATACTGGGCATTATTGGCTGCTTATAGATGTAAACAGCATTTTAGATGTAGTTACAACCTCAGTTGTCATTCCAGTGATCCACGCTGGGATTATGATTTGAGGTGATTTAATCTACTAATTCCTGTGTGGTAGAAAACTACTTTTTTAGTATATATACCTGGTTTCTGCTGTAGTCCCAAATTAAGGGTAGTGCTTTTCTGCACCATATATTTGAGCCCCGGTATAGATTATGGGGTCATGACAGTGTTAACATTTACCTTCTTAATGCTGATTTTGACCTATAATGTTGAGGCTGTTGAGCTTTAACAGTACCTCTAGCTCCCAAATCAGTGAGATGTTTTATTAAATGTGGGGAGAAAATAGTGTTGTAGCTTGCAAAATCTGATCTTCTCTCATCCTAAACCATATTGGAGCCCTCCACTTTTGAACTCTCCTTATTTGTTAGGGAAGAAGAGAAATATTGGAGATCCAGTATAAAATAGACTCTGCTGTAGTCTCTGCTCTTGATGGCAGCATATGTCAACCCATATAAGTATGGTCTCAAGTATGCCAGTCTGTGTTGTTTTCTGATTTCCCGTAGCTGCTGCTTTGTAGCAGCTCTGAAGCATCATTTTCTAAATGCTCTAAAATCCGGTTCAGATCTCTTGATGCTTACCAGCCTCTCACCGTCTGAACTAATTTTTAATAACGACTTATTTCTGGCTGATAATGTCACCTTTTAGCAACATTTTGAAGCTGTGTTTGAGATCACATCTTAAAAAGGCTGCATCTGTAAAATATGTACCAGTTAAAGGTGTTGCCACTGGAAAGTTTCAGTGAAGTTTGATTCAAGAAAGTCTTACTTAAGTAATTTAATTGAAGCTTAAGTATTTCTTTTGGTCATCTGCAGTATTGTCTGCTTGCCATCTGATACTGTTTCTGTTTAATCCTAAACCTGCCCCAGTTAGAAAGTAGAAGGTAAATGTTTAATTTGTAGAACTGTATAAGAAATGTATCTGCTATTATATCTACTCCAGCAACACGTTTTCTTTAAAACGTTCAAGACAGGTTGGGAGATACAGCTCTAAGCCTTAGGTATTCTTATCTCAGCATGAGAAAACATTTAGTCAGTTCTCAGGATTCTGCTTATTTGTTGAAGTGGAGATTTCTAGGGAAGAATAAGTGTTTGGATATGTAAGAATCATCTAGTTAAATCTTCGGAAAGAGAGGCTCCTGAGTCTTTTATATACGTGGGTTAAGAATAACAAGTACCTCACACTCAGCTAAATCTTTGCTTACTTTTGGCTGAAATTTCACTTCCTTTGCCCTCAAGGAAAATCTGCTAGTTCATTTTGTTTCAGATTTGGGGGTGGAAGGTGCAGAACGAGATGATGACTCTTAGTTTTCAAAAATAGCTTGTTAATTGCACATTCCTGTCTGCCTTTGTGACCAAGAACATAAATAACAAAAAATTGTTTGATTAAAATTATCTTCTTAAGATTATTTTCATATCCTTATTGTAGTGTTGGAGGATTAAGAAGAGCGTTCACCAAGCACTAATTATGTTTGTGGTCTTTTAATTGCAGGAGGCGGAGTTACCATCAGAACTGAACAATGAAGGATACTGTGATTTTAACAGTAGGCCAAACGAGAACTCTTACTGCTATCAGCTCCTGCAAGAGCTCAACGAGCAGAGGAAGAAAGGCATTCTTTGTGATGTTAATATTGTGGTGAGTGGGAGGGTCTTCAGAGCTCACAAGAACATCCTGGTTGCAGGCAGCCGCTTCTTTAAGACTCTGTATTGCTTTACAAACAAAGAAAGCCGGAACCAAACCACTGTTACCTATTTAGACGTTGTTGCTGTTCAAGGTTTTTCTGTCATCTTGGACTTCTTATATTCTGGTAACCTCGTGCTTACGAGCCAAAATGCCATTGAAGTGATGTCGGTGGCCAGCTACCTTCAGATGACGGAGGTTGTCCAGTCCTGCCGCAACTTCATTAAAGATGCCTTAAACATAAGTATAAAATCAGAAGCTCCAGAGACCGTTGTAGTGGATTACAACAGAAGATCTGTTAGTAGGGATGGTTTGTCTCCAAGGGATCAGAAAGTTGCCAGCTTCTGGGCAACACGAAACCTTACCAACTTGGCAAGTAGCATAAAAACTGAGAACGATCCCTATCCAATTGATGAGGGCCAAATGGAAAGCTACCAAATGAACGACTGCAGTTGGGTCCAGGACAGCTCACCTGAAATGGCTGAAAATGAATCTCAAGGTGAGGGAAAAGTTTTTGTGTGGAATGACATGGGTGCACAGGGACAATCAGTTCAAGAACCTGGAAAAGCAAGAAGGAAAAACCAAACTGCAAAGAGATTTATTTATAATATACCACCTAATACTGAAGAGAACTCAGAAGATTGCTCAGTGTTGCAACCATCAGTCCCATATCCAGAAGAAGATCTGTCATTTATTAAAGAAGAAGCAGGTAAATATTGCTTAATGTGATCGTGTTATTTGAAAACTAAAGTATTGAATGAAGTATTGAATGAAGTACCTGACAGTGTAACTCTTATAAAGGTATGTTGGATAGGATTAGTGAAGTCAGCACAGCAGTCACGTTACTGAATCATTAATCTGATTCTCTGCCTTGGGGCACAGCAGTGATTTTCTGCTGGAGAGAGTAATGGCAGCGCTGTGCTGTGCAGGATGGAATGTGCTGTTTGCATTTGGTACTTGAATTGGGGATCCTTATCAGCTGGTACAAACTAAAATTCTTACATTCACATTTAATCTGTGGTGACTATTAGGCACAAAACCAAGGAGTAATAACTGTTGGCTGATGAATATTAGCTGGTTGCACAGAGAGCAGGGACCTTTATAATTTCCTTCCCTACGCTAGAAAAAGATTTTTGCAGTAATCTCCTTCACCTGAGCGTCACTCAGAAAGTGAAGTCAGCATTCTGCTGATTTTTATTATAGGGGTGTCTTGGAACCTACAAGACAGAGTAATCCTGGCTACTATAATAGAAACACTTAAAGCAAGTTTGTGAAACATTGGACAGAGATGCCACAATGACATATATTAGACAGGAATATATTTTTGTTAAACAATGCTTTAAACAAATCCTGAGAGTGACTGAGTTAATAGCATTTTTTTCCTTAAGGATCTATGATTATTGTAAATGGTAGAGTAGGGTTAAATATCTGTTTGTTAAACAAATAAGGTCACACAAAGAATTATAAGCAGCAGACTGCTCACGGTGTAATTGGGATCTGGGGTAGTGTAATTACGTCCAGGGCTTTGTTTTTTAAATTATTATTGTGCTGTATGAATAGTTGAAGTATGTATTTGAAATACTGTCATTTACCTTTACTGTAATTTGCATCACTTTCTGACGAATTAGCAGTTTTGAAAACATATTGCAGTTTAGGAGTCAGATTAAAGATAGATTTGAGACATAGCTGGAATTAAATTCTTTAGATGTGTCTGTTTCTAAAGCAGGTTAAAATATATGCCTGCTTGAACCATGAAGGTGGTGTAGATGTCCTCTGTCTCCTCCAGGAGCTCTGCCCCTGCCTATGGGGCTGGAGGCCATAGAGAAGCAGGGGTGCCGCAGTGGGCACGTGGTGACCCCGCTGTGCCGTGCAGTGCCAACTGGTGACATATGACAGTCCCAGTCTGCACTGCTGTGCACTACAGATGTGTACCTCCAGTACAAGATACCTCCCTGTAGTTAGCAAGTAGTGTGACACAACAGAGCAGCTCCAGAGAAGCAGCTGTGCTGCGGAGCTAACATTGTTCTGCAAATGCTTCAGGGTGTTTGCCTATCTCAAGCCTTCATCTCTCAACTCTGGGTAGATCTGCTTTAGCTATTCTTGGGAGCGTGCACTTGTAAAGTGAATTTCCTGATCTTCTCTTACTGTCTAAGCTTTCCTAGACTGTACAGGATTTTTCAAGCTGAAATCACAATAGAAGCTATGTTTCAAAAACATGCCAATTGCTAACAGACCTTAGATCCACAGCACCAGGTTAGATCTAGCCTGAAGTAAAGCACCTTTAGACTCGGATAGTGTGGATGTTGAGTCCTCAGCACCCACACAACAAATCTGCTTGTGCTAGGCTACACTACTCGATATAGTTGCAGTGGCATGAAAAAGGGTCTGGAGCAGGAGCTGAGACCTGTATATAAATTGCACAAACATCAAATTTCTGACACAATTTAGCATGTGATTTCTGTTTGATTTCTGTGGGGTGGTTATTCAACCTCTTTTACCAATGGAAATACAGAGAATATGTCTACTAAGTGATGTCACTAGCAACAGAAAGAAATACTTGTTTACCTTCTGTGGAATTCGTATGTGTTCTGTGGAGCTTTCTTGAAGAAATAATGGAGGACATGGGCAGTCAGTAATGATTAAACAAGTTTAGTTCTATTTTTTGTGGATTTCTTTTTGACAGAAGCACCAAGGTTTTCAGTAGCTTGTTATGCTAAAGAATTAAATTACGAAATACATCCGTGTAGCATCTTGGTGAAGAGAACTGTATTGGAGACTAGGGACATAGTGAATGTGTGCTGTGGTGTCTGTCCAAAACCATTTCAAGTTCTGTGACTGAAGGGGGAAGTTTATTTTATTGAGCTGTAAAATACCATCAACTAACGATTTCCTTGGTATTTTCAGAGCATATGTGTTCCCAAGTACATAATTACATTTTCTGTCAGTATTAGAACTCTTGGAAGCCCTATCTAATATTTTTGCAATTATACCTTTTATGAAGTTCTTCTCTGCATGCACATTGTGTGAGGCAAGGAGTGACTGGAAGTAGGGCTTGGTATAATAGCTCACTTTCACCCATACTCTGTGCTTTAGCCTTTGGTGTTCTTTCTCCTCTACTGCTGCCTCTTTCTCTTTGCTCTGCAAGCAGATTCCACTCTCAAACATTCTTCTTTGAACTGCTGCCTCTATGCCCAAGAAAAGGTGGAAGAGGGAGGAGTGGAGAGTTGGAAGAATGTCAAGAATGAGTTGTAGAGTAACCTGCAGGTTATACGATAACTTTTTAGTTTTGGATTAAATTTCTTGTGGAGATGAAAAGCTTACCAAAAATAATATAGGCACTGGGAGGTAAAAATGCAGAAGAAAGTATCATCTGGAATAGATACAAGACAATGCTGTGAGAAGAAAAATAAAGAATAGCAAATTCTTACGATGAGAGCTAAAAAGTGCACTGTCTCTTTGGTTGCTGTAAGGGAAAGAATGAGCTTCTACTGTTATGCTTTGTCACGTTCTGATGGGAATAACCAACACCAGCTGAGGTTGTGAGCTGTCAGTTACATGCAAAGTGACTTCCTGTGTCCTTGATTATGGTTTTGGTTGGTCTGGTTCTTTTGTGAGGGGGGAGAAAAAATACTGTAGATATGGTGGAAGCCTATTTAAGAACACTCCTCTCACTAAAAAAATTATCTCAAAAGCCACTTCCTTGATTTCTGTAGTAAATGGATTTCCCAGTTGGGTACAGCTAGATAAGTATTAAGTAATAAACAATAAAAGCTTTCTGAACCATCTGCTACCCCTCTTGTCCCAGTGAAGCAAACATGTTAAACTGCTCCTTGCTGAACGTGAGTTTTCCTACAGGTATCTGTAAGGATATGTCAGCTTCTTCCTTTTACCCAGTGTTGCCAGTGAGTTTATATTTAACACTTTCTCTGCAAAAGTAGCACTTTGATGAACTTCAGAAAAGCTCCATAAAGTTGAAATGGATTTGAAATTGCATGTACCATCTTATATTTACTTATTTTTGCTTAAGCTTTCAAGACTTCTCCAGTTTTAGCTATATTAATTCAAGTAGCTGTTTAACTAAAATATTGATTGTTACTGCCTATGTCCATGTTTTCCCTTCTAGTTGATAATCTGCTAAAAAAGTCTTTACTGTTTATAGCCATTGTGCATCCTACAATTAACTGTTTACTATGGTAAAAGTAACTGTGCAGTCAGTCAGCATCTCATAGTCAGTTTCCAGTTCATAAAAGCTCAGTGAATATAATTCATCATATTCTTAATGTTGGTTCTTAGGGGTTTTTTGGTAAATTTTCATCACTTCGTGGATATGTTTTTTGTCTAGGCCTGTTTTGGAGTATATGTGTCCTCTTCTCAGGCTTCAGAACAGCTGTGGAGTTTTGCTCATGCTTTCCAGAGCTGATTGTGTTGATTTTTTTAGGAGACTTGTATGCAATACTGCAATAGCTTTATGAAACTACAGCTGGATTATGTGTTACCTTGATTTTCAGGCCAGTTACTGCTGTGTCATGTATTGTGGTGAAGGCAAGGCAAAGGATAACAAGTGCAAGATGAATGCAGCCCTTTGGTGGAATAAGAGGGTTTGTGAATGATTTTGTATGGGTTCTTAAGGAATTTAATTCAGCTTGCTGTAGAAGCAACTACTTTTCAGAAGGATACAAATAGCCAGCTAAACCTGCTTACAAAAAACATAGTGCTGGTCACAGCTTTTGTTATGATGCAAGGGAGGAGCATAACAACTTGATTAGGACTTTACACTATAGACAGGTAACTTTGAAGAAATCAAGATTGATGGACTTATCTGGAAATGCACGTATTTCTTATAGGGATAAACCTGACTTGATTGAGTTACAAAGGAAAAAAACTAACCTAAGAAAACGAAGTGCTTTTCCTGCTTCTCCATGGTAGTATCACTCTCAGCCAGATTTTCCTCAGATCTCCAGCTGATACCCTATTGAAAGATTTTAAGTTCCTTGATGGACCTTTAACCTCTTTTTTGCCCTGTTCCCTATGTAATCTGGTATTGAAGACCTTGTAGGTTTTTAGAAGTCCTCTAAAGAGAGCACAACATCTGAGGGTCAGTCTCTTCCCCGTTCATTAAATTTACTTCTCCTAGGGATGATCCCAAAGACAAGCAGATTCCCACATTTTTATGGTATGGTCTGTCATTGACCGTGCAACATGAAGCAATGTTTTGTGTCTCACTGCTGTGAATTTGGTTTTTTGTTTTGTGAATGGTTTGGGGAAGAAGGTTTTGTGGTGTCTACAGACCTTTTCTGCCTGAAAAACTTTTTTTCTTTTTTGTCTCATGCAATGCATTCACTTTAAAAAAAATACCAATCTGAAGTGCTGATTTTTTTCACTTATAAAATAGTGATGATGCTGATGGCAGCAACTCCATAAGTTGAGATGGTACATAAGAGCAACTGACTCCCCCACACATGTGGATGAGGAAACTTTTTAATATCTTCTGTTTCAGTTGTGCAGCCTTTGTGGGAGAGAAATCAGCAAAACAGCTTTCCCTTTCTTGGGAAGGAGTTTTTCAGGGAATGTTTGGTAAGCAAGTTGAAAAGCAAGTGGATGATATGTTTGGCATCAGTTGGTGGTCATCTGGCAGATGATTAGTTGGTGCTAGATCTGACTCCAAAGTTGGGGCAATATACCATTTTTTTTTTGTGAATGAGAAATAAAAATGGAGAGCAGTTGGGAGCAATAGATAAAGTATTAGTAAGACTGCATTGGCAAAATGTCTTAAGTGTCTGGGGGAGCCTTCTGTTGCAAGAGGCAGCTGAGCAATAGTGTGCTTCCAGAATAATCCTTTTCAGAAGAAATGGGGTTAAAGATGTGAGAAATACTCTGGGAACAAAAGGAGTGCAAGATATTCTTTCCCCCACCTTCCTAGTATGTCAGTGTTGACAGTGCTGTTTCTTCTGTCATGTTGCCTAACAAATCCAGCTCTCTAATAGCAATCCAGATTGTATCAGTAGATTACCACTGCTTTCTTTACAATCCTTGAAAGCTATGGGCTAATCGCTTATCCTGTCTAGTTTCTGTCTTTTTTTTTAATTGATCTAAATAAGCAGTGTCAGAAAAGCTGGTAGAAAAAATAGTAGTATTCTCTTTTCTCTTATTTTGGCACTATTTCTAGTGCTAATATGTATACAGAAAAGAGAAGTTCACTACAGACAACTGTTCTAATAGGAAGTTTTGTATCTTCTCCCTGAGCTCACCCTATGTCCATATCCCTTTCTCTAATGACTTGTTCAGTGACTTCTGTAATTGATCTTCTTCCTTAATCATTCCCTACTCAGTAATGTCTCCCTTTTCTTCCCCCTCAGATCAGCATATTTCTGATTACGGAAAAAGAGTGAAACTTGTCAAACTAAGGACGTTTCTGACTCGGATATGTTGTCTTTTTCTGGTGATGCTCCCCTACCTCTTGCCTTCAAAACTGAAAATCGGCGTTTTTAACTCCTGGTTATCCTTTTTCCTGCGAATAAATGCAGTAGAACATACAATTAAGTGGTTGTGTAGGCTTTTACAGCACTAACTTTTATCACACGATTTTATTTTGGACTGTCTGTCTTCTCAGATTGACATCTTGAAAATTTTAGAGCTGATATTTAATCAGCTTATTTGGATTCTGTTTTTTTTCTTATTATTTTTAGGTTTGTTGTTGATTTGCTTTTTTAAGATCGTGTTACTGATAGCCTCTTATCTGTGCAGGCTAGAAGAATGGGTAAATGTTTGATATTTGGGTAAATGGTAATGATATTTGTATTATTAACTTAGACCTCCTAGAAATCAACTAAACTGTAGAAAGGTATCCTTAGATCAGAGAGAAGTCGTGGTCAGATGGCTTGGTCTGCAGATACAGAACACCACTTCTAATTAGCTTTTTGCTTATTTTTTGTGTTGAAGATCTGCATTACTGCAGTCTATATTTTCCCCCTTTGCACCCCACCCCCAGTCTTCCAGTACAACCATATACATAGTTGCTTTCAGTCTCCTGTCAAGATCATTTGGGTTAAAGTTGATCAGAACAGGTCAGATGATGACTATCTGCAGTTTTGCAAGCAGGTTTCAGAGGGCAGTAGCCCTCTGGGAGGAGGAACTGGAGATGTTAAGAATCACAGGGGTCTGTAACACCTTATACTTGGCTCAGCTACAATTGGAAACTTACCTGACTGTCAGCTCTACATCCACCTGGGGAAGCTAGTAGAGGCCAAGTATTGCACTTCCAGCTTCCAATCTCTGTGTAATTTCTGTCTTACCTGTATGGATTGGCAATTAGATGTTAGAGATGCCTTTTTCGTGGCTTTGTTTTGAACACACTATATGTGTGCTTAATCTAGAAAGTAGGTTTTCTAGGTCAACGAATTATTCTAAGAATAAGCATTAGGTTTAATTATTATCTACTTAGTCCTGTACTATGCAGGGACTGAAGTGTATGTAGCAACCTCTTATCTCTTGTGATATCTGTGCTGGTGTTCTTTCACATTATAGTAGGTTTTCTCTTCAAATTGGAAGTAGACAGATTTGGTAGCTACTATTTACACTAGACAACACCTCTTAAATCTGTTTGGCTCTGTGCTGAGTCTTTTATGCTAAGATCTAGACCTATGCACTGATTTGAGCTCCTAACTTCCCTCAGACTTCAATACCAGCCTTGTGCATAAATGGTCTGCTAATGTTAAAAGTAGTTCTCCCACAAGAGGGGAAAAAGTCATTTGAAATATTTTCATCGCTGACCTTTCCCTGTTTAGCTAGAGCTGGATCAGTTCTATTACGGGGGAAAAACCTATAAAGAAAAAAATCTAATATTTTAAACAGATTATAAAGATTGTTTTATTTTTTTTTCCTCTGCTAGATCCTGAAGCCTGTTTTTATTTGCAGGCTTTTAGCCTTAAGACCAAGTCATCTTTGTTCTTTCCAGAACTGTATACATTGCTTCCTCACTAATTCTTTTGTGTATTACAAAAGGAAGTTTTGCTGCTCACCTAAAAGGAATGTGTAGTTGGCATGTCTATAGGGTATCTGTGTTCTATTCCTTGAGCTGTTGTGAGATGCCATTGCTGGAGTCCAAATTAGCATAAGGAGTTCTTGCCTGTTTTGGACATAACAGCTATTAGAGTCAGTAATTAAAAAAAAAGTTTCCTCACTGCTTTGTTTCTTAAAGGAGAGATTTTTTTTTTCCCCTTTCCACTTCTTTCTTTCTATACCAAAATAGCTAGGTGGAACAGCTAAAATACTGGTATTTCTTTTCCCTCATCTACTTGTTTTCTAAAGCTTGGATGGAATGCCTAGTTTGGCAGTTGTGATTCAGCTTTGCTTGTCATTTGCCATTGTCTAATGGATAGGATAGAATTATAAGCTTCCTACTTGTTAGGTGATACCCTTTTGAACTGTTGTCTTATGTTGGAGACAAAAGCACTGCTGCCAGCTGTAACACTGCCTGAGCAGTAAATGAAACTACTGTATATGTCTAATGCTGTGAGGATTTGTAATCTGTACTTTTCTCCAGTAAAACTGTAAGCTGTGAGTGTTTGAGTGTGCAGCTTTTTACTGGCTGCATGAAATTCTAGTTTACCCTAAGGGAATTTCTTTTCCCGAAAAAATCCTTAGAATGAGCAGTGTAGGGATAAAGAAAAAAGTCTTTGGACTTGTAAAAGGTACAATTTCAGGCTTGAAAACAAAAATGCATCTATTTACTATTAAACCCTTCTCAAGATTTTTCACAATGGTGACATTGGAAATCCAGTGTGAGGACCCAAGCATCATCCAGACAGATAAAGGAAGTCTGCCAGTTACCACTGTAGTTTGTTTGTTTAACATCTGTTTGCCTGTGAGGAATGTAATGGATTTATGAGTTCATGTCTTCCAGCAGACTCCTGTCTTGGGAACTGGGGGCAAGATTGATTTGCACTCTTGCCAGAAGGGTCTTTGCCCCACAAATACAATTTTTGTCAAATGCCTAGTGCAGCTTCATTGTGTACTATTTATAGCTCTCTTCTTTGTGCTCTGCAGTAGTGATTCCATGTTCACTGATGTAATTCTTACTTGTTACAAAAATATAGAATTATCACAGAGTCACAGAATATGCTGAGTTGGAAGGGACCCACAAGAATCATTGAATCCAACCCTTAGCCCTGTACAGGACCATCCCCAAGAGTCACACCATGTGCCTGAGAGTATCATCCACACTCTTCTTGAACTTTGGCAGGTTTGGTGCTGTGACCACTTCCCTGGGGAGCCTGTCCCAGTGCCCAACCACCCTCTGGGTGAAGAACCTCTTTCTGATATCCAACCTAAACCTCCCCTGACACAACTTCAGGCCATTCCCTCAGGTCCTGTCACTGGTCACCACAGAGAAGAGATCAGTGCCTGCCCCTCCTCTTCCCCTCACAAGGAAGTTGTAACTGCAATGAGGTCTCCCCTCAGTCTCCTCTTCTCCAGGCTGAACAGACCAAGTGACCTCAGCTGCTCCTCATACGGCTTCCCCTCTAGGTCTTTCATCATGTTCATGGCACTCTTTTGGACACTCTCCAATAGCTTTATATCCTTATTATATTGTGGTGCCCCAAACTGCACACAATATTCAAGGTGAGGCCAGTGCAGAGCAGAATGGGACAATCACCTCCCTTGATCAAGCAAGGATCTTTTTGAGACATTGATCACTTCCGAATGGTTTTGTTCTTTTAAAGAGGAAAAGTGGATGCAAAGACAACATGAACTGCATGAAGATCTTGTCCAAAGCCCAAATGTAAATATACAAACTAGTCTTTTAAACTGATATATTCCAAGTAATTATGGTCTGTTGAATTGATGTGGTTATGGAGTAGTGGAGATGATTATTCAGAAAAGGGTTTAGACACAACTGTAGGATACTTTACATAAATAAAGGTATTTTAAGCACTTTATATATACCACAGAGTTATTTTAAGGCAATAAAAAAAAATCATACCTCCAGCAGAAAATGTTTACTTTTGTACCAACTAGACTGCCTGTGGCAGACCAGATGAAGTCACTGCCCAAAGCAGTTATAAAGAGAATCCAGTGGAAAGCCTTGTAGCCCTGTCATGATAATAGTGAAGGAATAAAAATCCTTACCATAAAAGTTCCTGTAGTATGAAAAAAGCTTTGAATTTTTCTCTGGGTGAGAAGTGGTGCTGTGGAGAATAGTTCAATGATCTCATTTCATTGAAATTAAGAATGCAGTTATTTCTTAGTTTCAGTATTGAATACTGTGAAAAAGTACTACTATTACTATTTTAAGGTTAGAAACTTCTTTGTCACAGTTAAACAATACATATTTTGCGAAACAGCATGACTGATTAGAACCCGGGAAGCTAAAGTAAGACTGTCTTTAATAGCAACCTCAAGTGACTTCAAGTATGGTCTGCTGCCGGGTACCTCAAGTGACTTCAAGTACGGTCTGCTGCCGGGTACTTCCAGTGACTTCAAGTATGGACTGCTGCCGGGTACTTCTGGTGACTTCAAGTATGGACTGCTGCCAGAATCTTGGCCAAAAGAAGCTTGGGAAAATGGTAAGTATATCTGATGGAGAGAAGTTTCTTTTTTGCCTCTCATAGGGGTTCTTTGTCTTCTGTGTCACTGCTTGTAATATTTGATTAATTTGTTTGAAGGTTTATAAGATTATGTAAACACTTCATCTTCTTCCATATCATTTGCCTTTCTGGATAATGTAAATATGAGGATTTCCTCGGAGGGAGAAAAAGGAATTCAGATGTATGGAAGAGTAAGAACAGAAAGTGATTAATGTCAGCTCTTTTATTGTGTCTGAATGTGAAGATACTTGAGGTCTTTAATGACCTGGTAGCTTCCTCCCGTTTTCTAAGATAATTACAGATATATGGTGTTTGAAATTGAACACTTGGATGATGGAGATAAGAAATTAAATATAATTTTAAAAGGAGATCTCAGCATATGTCTCGCTATCAAAATAAAAACTTCATTGCAATAAAGATTTTGAGTTCTGTGCAGCTGTAATTAAGCCTTCTTCTGTCAGTTCAAGCAAGCAATTATCTGTAATTATTTTTCTGTCTGAAAACCTCCCAAAAACACCACTGCATCTAAAACAATTGTTGCTAGATCCTTAAAATATATGAAGTCTTGGATAAAAGGAGGATCTTAAGGCCTGGGTAATAATAATGCTTACCTCTTCTCTGTAACTTTGAGCTATTACTGGGATGTGGTTTATGGTTTACTTTAAATTATTTGGGTTTTTACAGTGGAAGATGTGCATAGGACTTACTTTTCTTGATATAAGCTATTATGTGACATTATATTGGCATGCAGCTTGCCTGAGTGCTCCAATATACCAAAGCAAACTTCTGAATGTTAGCAAAACTTAACTTCCATATTATGATGGATTTTGAAGCTCTGAGGAGGCAACTCTAGATGAGTTGGAGCCCATGTCTGTGGCCGTGCCTGTGGCCCATGCATGTAACACACAATTACTTGTGTTTTCTTTCTCCCAGCCTAAAAATGAGAAATTCTTGTTCATAATCATATAGCCTGAGTCAGTGCTTTTTGGGTGCTTCTAGATGGTTATGATTATGTTCATAAATTATCTCACCTGTAGTATGTTTTGAGCCAATATCATATTCTCAAAATCATCTTTATATTCCTATGTGACCTTCTCCACGTCATAGCATCCTGTGTTCTTCTCTTTCACACAGTAATAGGCAGCTGTAGCAAACCTGTTTTGCACATATCCTTTGAGCAAACTGTGTTACCTGTGGTGCAAGGATATGTAAAGAGCTCCCCTCCATCATAAGGAAGAAGTGAGATATTGCTACTTCCAGAAGTTTCTTTTCTGCTCTCAATTTTTTCCTACTGTTAGACCAAAGTAGAAAATAGATAAGATCTGAACCAATAACTTTCCTTTTCAGCTATTTCAGAATTATGCTAACTCTTATTGTCCTACTCCTTTTGTCAATATTCATTCTTGCTTAGTTACACCTTTTTTTATTGATTTGTCAAGTCAGATCTTGGCAGACAGTTACTGCATGTAATTCTAAATAGAATATTGGGAGAGAAGATTGTAACTGTCTAAATGCTGCAAAGTTAGAGGGTTTCTAATCCAGAAGAAAATGTTTTCTGGTATAGATGACCTCTAGAAAAGTGGAATACCGCTAAGTTGTAGTTAACTTATTAATGAAATAAGATGATTTTTCAGAGAATTGATTAGTACTTCTGTAGTAAAAATACTTTGGTTACAAGTAGGTGTTTTTCTAGCAGGATCATACAGGCAGAACTTACCATCATTTGTGATTTCTGCAGACAGGCATTGTCCTGATTTGGCTGATGAAAAGTCATGTGGGTGCTTTATTGTTTTGGCACCTGTTTATTTTTGTGCAACAGGCAGAACATACTGAAATATTTTTTTGTGTGTGTTTCATTATCTTTTCTCCTGATGGCTTATTATCTTGTAGGCGATTCCTCTGCTTTAATCATGAACAAGTTGAAGTGTCCACACTGTAATTATGTAGCCAAATACAGAAGAACACTAAAGAGACACTTGCTCATTCACACAGGCGTGAGATCTTTCAGTTGTGACATCTGTGGGAAGCTGTTTACACGAAGAGAGCATGTAAAGAGACATTCCTTGGTAGGTAATTGCAAGTGTATGTGTGTCAAGTGGGTTTTTGGGTTTTTTTGCATGTTTTGGTAATTGGAAGAAATGCTATTCTCTGATTTGTCATAATGTAAATTGTTTTATCGTAATCTAAAATGAATGAAGATAAACATCTCTTTGTGATAACTATACATCTTGTGTTCTCAATGGAAAATGCAGTGTCAATTAAGAGAGTCACTGGAATTCTAGTAACTTCAAGATTATTTTGAAAGTGACATGATATAAATGCAGTATATGTAAGTATTCTGTAGATAACAAAAGGCATTTTTGGCTTGGTGTTGCTCAGTAGAATAGCACATCTTGTTCTATAATGCTGCATCATCATCTTCTGTGAGGGCACCCTGTTAATTCAGCAACTGCACAGTATCTTGAAGTAGTTCTGAAATGTTTATTTCCCAACTAGACAATGCTATAGTATAGTATCTGCTTTAAGATGTAACCAAGAACGAAAAATATCTGATGCAGAAAGTAAACATCTGTCTGACAGACTACCAATGCCATAATCAGCAGTTCAACTTGCCCTGTCCTGTGCATGTTGCATAACTCAGGATTTGACTTGAGTACTTGTTTATCTGAGGAGCCAGAGAAAGTGTTATCTGTCTTGGGTATTTTGCAGGTACTTTGTATCTAGTCTGTAAGAAATTGCCTTCATTATGATATTTACTGTACAAAATCCAAGGGGTGTTTTAGGGGAGTAATAAGAACAAGATTGTATTGGTGGTGAAAAAGTAATAACATTTCTCCAAGCTGTGATTTTTTTAAAAAAAAATCTAATTTTGCAACATGCTTTGTAGATAGACAAAAGAGGTTAGTACATGGAGTGGGGTAAAGTGCACTTCTCCAGAATGCTGTACCTGGGTTGGGGCAACACCCCATATCAGTAGAGGCTGGGGGATGAACAGATTGAGAGCAACCCTGCTGACAGGGACTTGGGGGTGCTGGTGGATGAGAGGTTGGACATGAGTTGGCAATGTGAACTTGCAGCACAGAAAGCCAAGTATATCCTGGGCTATATCAAAAGCAGCGTGGCCAGCAGGTCAAAGGAGGTGATTCTGCCCCTCCACTCTGCTCTTTTGAGACCCCACCTGGAGTGCTGCATCCAGCTCTTGGGTCCCCAGCACAGGAAGGACATCAACCTGTTGGATTGGGTCCAGAGGAGGGTCATGAAAATGATTGGAAGGATGGAGCACCTCTCCTTGGAGGAAGGGTCCTTGGGTTTTTTCAGCCTGGAGAAGAGAAGGCTTTGGGGAGACGTAATTGCGGCCTTCCAGTACTTGAAAGGAACCTAAAAGAAAAATGGAGAGAGGCTTTTTGCAAGGGCATGTAGTGATGGAACAAGGAGGAATGTATTCAAACTGAAGGGGGATAGGTTTAGATTAGATGTTAGGAAGAAATTCTTTACTGTGAGGATGATGAGGCACTGGAACAGGTTGGCCAGAGAAGTTGTGGATGCCCCATCCCTGGCAGTGTTCAAGGTCAGGTTAGATGGGGCTTTGAGCAACCTGGTCTAGTGGAAGGTGTCCCTGCCTATGGCAGGGCATTGAAACTGGATGATCTTTAAGGTCCCTTCCAACCCAAATCGTTCTATGGTTCTGTGACTTCGGTAGCTTTCCTCAGTCCTTTTAGAATCAGTGGACCATTTTGCTCTCCTCGCAAAGGTGTTCTGTAAGTCTCCATAGCCTCCCTGTAGTTGGCTTTTTGTTCCTCAGTGAGTAGAAAAAGTGGAAAGCTTCTGTGCTTTCACGTGGATGCAGAAAAGAGCTTTTGATCTAAGTCTTCCAAACTTTCCTTTCTAGCTTCTATTATAATGAAATTGAGTTTGTTAGCCAGTAATGTTATTAAAAGTAGGTAATAACGTGAGTCATATCAGGATATAATTCTAGAAGATGTTTATAAGACCCCTGTAGTAATTTTTTAGTGTTTCTTGAACTGCTCTACAGGTAATGAAGGCATATGTTAATAGCTCCTGTGTAAATTTTAGAACCAGCATCTTATGTTCTGCTGGACTTTGCTAATATTAGATACATTTCTTTCCACCCTGCCACTGCTGCCTTTCTTCACCTCCTGCACCATCTAGTGAAGGCTTAGATGCCGAAAGAACCAGGAGTACCTGTGATGTTACTGAGTCTGAGGAACTGTTGTGCCTGTAGGTGACTGCAGTGAGGGAGGTGGTGATGGTGCAGGGCAGCTCCATGGGGTGGCAGAGGAGTCTGAGGCGTTATCACCTCCTTGATGGCCATATGCAGCAGCTGCTCCTTCCTTTGCAGCTCACTGGAGAAGACAGCAACACTGGGAGATGGTCAGTTTACCAGGAAGAGCAGAGTGGGACTTCAGGTTTCTGTCCTGCAGTATCTGACCTGATTTTTTTTCCCAGGAAAGGAGTTGAAGTCAGACCGTGAAAATAGCTATAGAATGAGCTCAGCCTAGTTGTGTGCTTTAACTGAAGTGTCCTTTCCCCATTGAAGACTGAATACTTTTTCTTTGTTTGTTTTTTTCCCCCCTCCTTTCCCCTTTCCATTCAACAAATCTCAAACGTTCTGCTTTATGTAAGTCTAGAGGCTGAGGAAAACACATGTATCAGCTCTACAGATTATACAGCAGGACTGAAGTAACTAGTTGTATCTTGACCTGATTTTTTTCCCCTCATCTGGATGGTAATTTCTGTTTTATCTAAAATGGCAATTTTTCAGTGGGACTTCAAATGAGGTATTTAAGCAGCAGATACAAGAAGGAACTCTTCAACTTAATTTTTAGTAGATAGTAACTAATATACGTGGCTGCTGAATTCAGTTACATGTACAAGTAACATACTTCCAAATTGAAAATTAAAATTTAGTCAAATTAGTCAACAACAACCTTTTAACTTTACACACAGGCTCACATACAGACAAAAAACTCATTAAAGGGACCTGGAAAGTTGATATTGGTTTTGGTTATGTTGGGATAAAGATGTTGTGGAAGAAGGATTTTGCTCTTTGAATTCACACAGAATTTAATAACTCTTGCTCATTCTAAATTTTTCTAGAACTTAAAATTTTAAAGGCAGTTTTCTAAATGAGATGTTATCCTGTGTGCAGTGTAAGTGCTGTTCTCATTGCCTTTGAGTCTTGCTCTGTAGGGTGAGTAGTTGTGGACTGAACACTCACCTGTATACAGAACAGGCAGATGTTCAGTTTGGTTGTGGGAAATAGCTCATGTATGTTGAGGAATACATAAATAGATCTCTAGTAGTCCTTCTCTTACTCTGAACAGTGTGAGTATCTCTTGGAAATGTTCAAAAAGAATTTTTGTATCAGTAATTACTATTCTTATTATCAGTAGTTTTCTAGTACTGTATGCAAATGTAACTTGCTATGTGTATTTTCACCTGTTAAAATTTCTCTTCCACAGGTGCATAAAAAGGATAAAAAGTATAAGTGTATGGTGTGTAAGAAGATTTTCATGCTAGCAGCCAGTGTTGGAATAAGACACGGATCACGACGTTATGGAGTTTGTGTAGACTGTGCAGATAAATCTCAACCTGGAGGGCAAGAAGGAGCAGACCAGGTGCAGGACACAGATTTCCCTAGGGATGAAGAATATGAGGAAAATGAAGTGGGAGAAGGTGATGAGGAGCTTGGTGATGATGTAGAAGAACAGAATGACCAGTCCCGATGGGATGAAGCTGGGGAAGTTTGTATGCCTTTAGATGACTGACAGAGCATATGACTTCAGGGTGCTGCAAATGGACACTGTATGGATTGACTATTTGACTATATGAATTTTGGGACTGAAGGCTTGCGAAATATGGTACAGGCTGGATGGTAGTTACATTGCTGTGAAAAATGTAGGGTCAAAGCCTTATAGCAAAAAAAGGATTATTAATTTTTTTATGATATTTGCACAGGACTGTACAGCATACAACCATTTGGTTGAATTATACAGAGTCCTCACATCTACAGTCAGTTATCAAAAGAAAAATGTATTTTTTATTATTTATAGGCTATAGCTACTTGGGTCCTATTCAGACATAGTAGTAACTGTAATTATGTTACACATTCATGTATCTGTTAACATGAATGAAGAAAATTACAACTTTGTATGGAAATACAAAGACAGCTTTCCCAAATCCACTTCTACTATGGTCAGTGAGTCAGCGAAGGTAATTTGGGGTAGTGGCTCATTTTCCCCAAGCACGTCTTTGCCATACAAATTTTATCCCTTCCATAACCTGAGAGGTGAAAGCCAATCATTTAAATATGCGTCACAGATATTGCCAAAACCATACTGAAATTTGGTTTGAAAACTTTTGGCTCTGTGCTGGCAGGTGGTATGGGTGATAAGCACTGGAGAAGTTGTTAATGGCATTAATTTAGCATCTGTTTTTAAAGAAGGTTGTTGTTGATTCATCAGTTTCAAAATGATAACGCAGAAGAAATGACCAATAATGAAAATAATAGACTGGTCAGAGCATGGGTAATTCTTGTGCCACTTGTAGTCAAAAGAAACAGTTATGCTAAAAGGTATCTGATGTAATAATGTTTCTTCCCACTAAGGTGCCCCTTCTCAAACTTTTTGATTTCCCTGGTGTATACCTCAGTCCCACAAAATAAAAATACAAGGAATGGAGAAAGTGTCATATTAAACAACTCTTTGGTCAATAATTTCTCACTTGTCCGCTTTTTGGCTAGTTTGTGATGTGAATTGAACACTAGGCTATTTTGCCCATCGTTCATCATTAAAATGAACACAAACTATTTTTTATTCTTTTGTACTTAATGGGTTGTTGCTAGTATTTAATATAAACCAATTACATTTAATTTGCTCATTTGCTGGAATTATTTCTTTTAAGAAAAACAAAAAGTCCAAAGCAAAATAATACTCTTTGAGTTGTCCACTTTTCAGGGGGATATGCTCCCTATGCTCTTTGCTTCAGATTTTCTAGGAGGCATTGAAACTTGAATTTTTGTAGCCATTAGACTTTTTTTCCCCTAAGCTTGTAATATTGTACCAATGATTTCAGGCCCCTTTTATAGGGAGGGGAGGGCATTACACCTTCACCTTAAACTCCTCTGTGTTGTCTAGCCTAAGGCAAACAAATTCAGGCAATCATTGGAACAATACATCTGGTGTACTATTATGTCACAATGAGTAAATATGCAGAGCATTTATCATGACACATAGCTAGGCCAGTGTGACAGTACTGTATAAAAACCAATTGAGGGTCACCATATTTTTCAACTTTGTTTATTTTAAAATGAGTATATTTTTTTCCTATTTTATATCAGGTAACTAAATTATGGTAGTTGTGTGGATAACTTTGAATTATGCTTTGACAGACAAAATCTTACTGGTGCTCCATCTGATCAAAGTCGGTATGTATTTAAAGAGACAAGCTTTACTGTTGTCCATAGAACAGTAACATGATGTTAAGGCATTGTTTTTGCTGATTGAAGCTAAGTTTGAACTACAGTTATATGGGAATTAAAATGCTTTTTTTTATCATCCACTTGTTTCATTGGTAGCTTCCACATCATTGTAAACCTGACGTGATTAGTTTTTTTTGGGGAGGGTGGGAAGGGTGGGGTGCCTTTTTTACACTGAAGAATACATTTTATTCTCATTGTTCTAGACTGAAATGAGTAATGTGTAATCCTGGTGGGGTCCAAAGTAGAAATTAGTTGGGCAAAAATGATATGAATTAAAAAGTATTTTAAACGTTAAAGTAATGTTCTGCTTTGTGAATATGTAAGTATAGCATAAAGATTTTTCCATCCCGTTTATCCCTTTTAAAACCATAGTTTACAATTGGTAGATCTGTCTATATATATAAGTATATATATATATATCTGAAATTCACCTAAATCTGCTTTATTAGGATACTGCTCACTTAATACTTAGAAACTGGACCTGGCTCTACATTCTTAATGTATTTTCCTTTTTTTTTTTTTGTTTTTGTTTTGTTGAGTTTTTTCCTCAAGTATGAACTTATTCTCTTGGAATTGAATCTTCTTTTACTACTTAAATCATTTATGTATATCTGGTAAATTATGACCAAATTTGTTGTTAGACTGCATACAGTAAATCGAAATATACACTTGGTACACTACAGAATTGTTGTGCTTTTGTTCCGATTATATTTGAAAAAGCAGGCTTTAATAGACATTTGGTATTTATAAATATTCAGTTATTATTCACTGACCTTAATATTCTGTTGCATTGTGACAATCATGTCCTTGGTAACACTTAACTGCTTACTTTTAAAAGTTGCATGTAATTGCCCATGGTAGGATTGGAGGGAGAGGGATGACTGTCTTTAGCGACTGATGTGAAATACTTTAATGGAGATCCACTGTTCTTGTGGTGTAGAACCGAAAGAATTTCCATTTCCAATGGATTTTTTGAGCTTTATATTCAGAAGTCATTTAAAGTACATTAATTTGGTTGGGTAGTTCTAAATAATAAATGTAAATTTCTGAAGAATTAACTTTTGAGGGACAGCTCAAGTTTCTTTACTCTTATAAGAAGTAGAAAGATTTCTGTTTGTGCTAGAAATTGTTTCCCTCATGAAATGCTGGAGTTATGCTGTAGTAACACGGCAGTGGATTTTAATTTGTTTTGAAATTTGTTTTCCTTTTTAAAAGAAGAAAGACTAATGCCCTTAAACTGTCTTCATTATCAAATGAAAAGATACCCAGTCTTTCATTTTGTCTTCTGAAATCCTTCTCAAATCAAGTTTGAGACTTGCTTATTTGGGGCAATGCCACACGAGTAGTTTTATGAAAAGAATCATGTATGTTTTTAAACAAACACAAAGTTCTGATGTTGGGACTCCCCCTTCTTCTGTGGGTTTTTGTTTGCTTTCTGATCTCTTTGAGTAATGGTGGGTATCTTTTAGAAAGAAACATACAGAGCACTTTGTGGCAAGGCACTGTGATGCAGGACAAAATCAAATCATTAAGTAAATTCACTTAAGATTCACAAGTAGAACTCTTGGTCAAAGTAGGTGTGATGTAAGGAAGACACACAATGTAAGATGTGTTTGTCCTATGCCAATGTTACTACAATATGTTAACATTTTTTAATTGTAATGACAAGTGCATTTTGCAGGAAAAGTGGCACTTTTTCCAGTTACTTAGAAACTTTTTGTAGTTCTGTTTGCAAACAAATCGTCTAGTAATATAACTTTCTGAAGTGAAACCAGTTTTGAAAACCAGAAGTGGTATTTAGTTGTTAACATGCATCCTAAGAGGTTGCAATTACTGGTTCCCATAGTGTACACTTAGTTTTTGTGATGTGTGTCATTCTGCAAATGCAGTTTTCAGATATCACTACATTGTCCCTCTTCCTTCTGACAAGAATAAGCATTATCAAGTGAGGAAAAGCTTGGGGCCAGGACACTGGCATGAGTTATGCTCCTAGTTATGGGTCACAGCAGTAATGCTGTTAGCAGAAGATGCTTTCCTTGCGTAGCTTTAAGTTGGTAAGGCTTTTAATAGGATTTGCTTTAATTAGGCCAATCTCAGTTGTTTGCTTGCTTTTAAGGTTTGTTTCACTTGATTTTTCTTGTTCTTGCCACGCAGTAATGCAAGTCTCCCACCTATTCTGAAATATTTATGTAGTCTGCTGACTCCACACAGATCCAGAATTCACTTTGCAAGTGCTGTACCTTGTTTCTTTTTTACTTTGTTGTATTTAAATGGCTTTGGAAACTAATAACAGAAATGAAAGCAAGACAAATGACACCACCAGCAACCCAAAAAACTTGTGTCAAAAGAAAGTGAAAAAGAAGAAAATGTGGAGTGCAATGTGATGAGAAAAAGGCTTTTGGATTTGAGTTGTTACAATTCTTCTGGTTTGTTACTTGAATATTTTGGACAATTCACTGTGCTTTTCTCTAGCACTATTTGGTGGCAACGTTCTGATGAAGAAGCTATGCAAGAAGCCCAGTTGTGAATTTGTTCAGTGCCTCCAGAATGTGGTTCAGGTTCTGCAGAGGTAGTACCACTGAGTAGCTTTCTGTAGATATTTTACCACAGACCCTTCTGTTAGCATCCCTCTTCACTATGTGATTTTTATTCGATAAATATTTGCTCCTTTACCTTTTATACATTTTAATAGCACATTACTGTGTATTACTGAACAGAATGGTGAAGTTTAAATATTGACACAGTGGATAAAAAGGAAATAAGTTGGTTTTCCTATAGAATCCTTTAACAAACCTGTAATAAAATAATTCCTCTGTAATAAAGAAAATACAGGTTTGGAATCCAGGGGCATGGGTGTTGCTGAGCAGAACACTTTGAGATGATGAAGATTCCATACATAATTCACCACAGGTTTTTGGAAATACTTTTATGTGGGGAAAAAAATGCAAAACTGCACTAGGAAGAATTTATGACTTAAACTTGAAAATAAAATTGGCTTATCAAGTACTTTGTATTTGACATTATTGCAGTTTGAAGTGAATGTTTAAAATAAGCTATAAATGATGTTTCTTACCTGGATCAATTTGGATTAGCTACTTCAGAAGACAGATAAAAGTGACTTCTCACTGACATTTTGGTATATAAACATAATTTCAAGACTTCTAATACTCTGCACCAGTCTTTAAGTTACCATGCTGCAAATAAATTTAAGAAATAACAGTTTTATCCATTCTTCTGTACCCTGCCTGCTCACCCTCCACAAGAAGATGCAGAGAGATTTCTTTGGATGGCTTAAGTCTCAACATTCAGTCGTTTGCTCCAAAAAACTGCTTCTGACATAGAATAAAAGGTATAGAAAACAGAATTTATTTTAAGGTTTTATTATAAACTTCTCTCATAATAAGGCATATCACTTTAAGATGACCCATTTCCAAAAGCCAGAATTCAGATAAGGTGTTTATACCTAAAACTGGATTTTAGACAAACTGCAGTGCAGAGCTGAGCAAGTCACTGAAGGGGCACTTTAGCCACAGTCTAGTGTGTGCCAGAAGTTTTGGATCCCCTCAGAAATGTGGTAGTACTGTGTGGTGCCCAAAGCCTTTCCATTGGTGTTTTGTTCCCTCTCTCTGTTTCCACCAACCTGAGAAGTTGGAACAAGTCCTTTCAACCTGAGTTTCTCAAAAGCTTCTTGACTGAATAATGCTGGATATGTGTTTGAATTGACCCTTTGGCTTCTGTTATCTTCCTAAATGTGGGTTGTTTTTGGTAGATTATACACAAGTGGATTTCTTCAGCTAGAAAGTAATCAGCCCTTTGTTGGTTCTTTCAAGGATTTGAAAACTTCAGAATTTTCTTTTTGCCCTGCAGAGAAAACTTCAGGTTTGATATCCTGGACAGGCAAGTCTGCTTGTGTATCTTGCCTTGGATGCCCTGGTTTAGTGAAGACCAAAGGCCTCTGTCCCATCAGCTTTTCCTATTATGTGCCCCTTGTACAGCATGTAATGGATTTGTCTTGTGGGGGACTATAGCTCTGGTTTGGGAAGAGCCCAGAAAATAACTTCTGTGCCATTGAACAAACTGCATTACTTTAAAAACTATCTGAATGGTGGTACACAGAGAATTGTTTCGAGACTTGAATATGTTTTTACCTTGTTAATTAAGTGCGATATAGTCATGTGATGTTCTCTTGTTAAATGTACGTAAACTATTGTGTTTTGCCTACATATTTTAGGAAAAGAACTTCACATTCCACAGAACAGTGTGAACTTTGTAGCTAGAAAGGAGCAACAGGAGAAGAAATGTTTGTTAAAATTCAGCAAATTTAGTCTTAATTAGATAAGAATTAACATTGGGACAGCAAACAACTGCAGAAGAAACTGTAAAGTTTGTGGGAGGGTTGTGAAGAAAGTCAGCGCTGCAGGAAAGGGTCTCGAGAAGCTTTCTTAATGGGCCTGAAGTGTAGCTGTATTCATCAAGGACCAAGGAAAAAATGCTTATCTTTGCAGCATGGTTGAGTTGGTGATGCTGTAAAACCCTTAACTCTTGAAATGCTGACCTTTAAAGGATAGACCTAACATCAAATTTTGAAATAGTCATCCTCTTTCTAGCCCTTTAATTTGGAAATGCCTCCAGGATTGACTGGTGAGATATCAAATTTATGCTGAGAAATAGCCCAAATTATTTTCAGATGAAATGAAGAGGGTTTTTTTATATAAGTGATAATACCACTTCATTTATTTCCAAAATTCCTACAGTAGAGGCGTAGTACTAGTCCAGTTCCTTCAAAGAATTTATTGATACTGAATGCCAATACTTGTCAGATTGACAAGAAGTGGTAACTGCATACTACTCCTAGTAACTTAAGATGCCTCTAGCTTGGAAGGATTGTTTTTATCAATCTGTGTGCTGCATTCTGCTCAGATACTGTCTGCATAGGTTACGTCTTGTTCAAACTAGCCTTAAGTTACCCTTCCTGGATATAGATTGCAAAATGTTATCAGTGAAGAAGTGTCACAAAATAAATCTTACCCAGGAATGCTTTTCTTGTTTTCTCCTTGCTGAAACACAGGAAGTAAATTTCTAAAGCACTGAGACTTGATGCCAAGATGTTTATAAACTGCATGGGATATATTATATCACTCTGGCTAAGTTTGCAAAAATTACCACTGACATTTTTAATCATGTTTTTTCAAAACTATTGGTTTTGTTATCTCTCTGATCTTTATTGTCACACTTCTGACATAACTTGCAACTTTAGAGGATCTACTAGCTTTCTAGAAACAGTAAGATATGAATATATAATGTTCACAAAGAAGTTGTCAATAACTTTCTGTTGAACATTATTGTTCTGCCCTGGATTCCTCCTTGAATGGTGTTTTTTTGTCTGGAAGGTATGGAAAGGGGCATGGTGACCACTGTCCACTCATAGGGCTTAAAAAAACCTGTTAGTCTGTGAAAAAGGCGTAGGTGTTTTCATACTGGAAGCAGACTTTTCCCTTGGAGTTTCTTAACACCTTGCTCTGAAGCATTTCAGTTTTGAAACCTGCGCAGTAGTATGAAGAGGCCACTAGTCAGTCTGAACTTGTAATTTTGCTGCTTATACACCATTTAAATTAATAAAAATGTGATCTTATTGTAATGCTGCACAGGTCTTAACTGCAGTTATCACTCTATGCCCTGCTT